AGTTTTGTTGATGCATGTCAACACATGATCGTTGATGTAAAACGCCTTGCTCATTGAAAAATTCAGTAACATTTAATTCCTTAGCATTATTATATCTAAATGCCTCAATATTTTTTGTTAAATTGAGTATTAACCATGCAAAAGAATTGTTTGATGAAAAATGGTGCATTAGATTTTCATTTAAAAGGTAAACCCAAATAAAACACATACATTCATCAACTTGTTAAAAAGAAACTATTCTAAATGAGCTCATACATGATATGGACCCAAATATCGCAATGAATAAGATGGAATGAAAATCATGATAATTTTGTTATTTAACACAAGTAATAACCTTTTTTGCTTAGCCAATGGACACACATGATATGATTTAAGGTCTGTTTGGGGCAACTGTAGCTTATTAATAAGCTGTTGATAAGCAACTGATTCATATAAGCTATTGAGCAGTAGCTGACCCAGATAAGCTGATTGGTTGTTTTGTTTGTGCTGTTGAAAAAAAAACTATTTTGAAATTGTTTCTGAATAAATGACTATGTTGCCCCTGTGTAATAACGTTGTTTGCAATAGAATTATCATAGCAATATGTTTGATACTTGAAAAAAAAATCACTTCAGAATAGTACAAAAAATAAGGTACACACCTCACTTAACAGTGAGTATCAAGATTGTTAAAAAAAAGAAAAAAATAATTAAAATTAATTAAAAATATGATAATATTAATTTTAAAATATAGACGATGTATGTTACGAGCTATGTCGTCCTCTAAGGATGCCATCCAACCCTAATCACCATTGACGGTAGAATCTGTTGGACTGTTGGCTCACCGGAAGAAGCACACTTCTCCGTGATGCTCCGTGGGCGCATGTAGAACTCTCCCGTAGCTATGTGCCCAACGTGACATCAGAGAGAAGTTTGTAGTCAGCAATGACAGAGCACTCGTCAAGAGATCCTTGAAATCCTAGAGCTCACTTTCCTTGAATGATTCAAAAAATAATTTAGTCATAACACAAGCATAAATTGACAAAAGTAGTAATCGATTACAGTTTTGTACGAGCACGAGGTCTCAGAGAACTAAGTGCACTAACCCCACCAAACCTGTCACAACAAGAAGATAACAGACATTATAAAACATGGGTTGTCAGCTGCCTTTAGTTCACTTAATACCAAACTCATGTGTGTCACATATGCATATCACAAAAAAAGTCATCCAGAAGTATCTCAAAAACCTCGAAATCGAAAAGAAGAGAGAAATTTGGTTGCATTTATCGGGATTTCACATGTGACACCAATCAACAACGACTAACATACCATCTAAGAAAACCCACAAGGTCGAACGTCTCATGATAAATCTTACAAACTCACAAAAAAAATGAAAAGAAATCGAAAAAAGAGAAAAAACAATTACAAATAGCATAAAACATACAATATCTAAAAAATCAACAATCAATGGAGCATAAAATAAAAATGAACTTTATAAATAGACAAAAACAATAATCAATTAAAATTTTGTGCAGGCACGAGGCCTCGGAGAACTAAGTGCACCAACCCCAAGAGACCTCATAATAAGAAAACAACAAACCTTACTTGATTGCCTTTAGCTCACTTAATTCCAAGCTCGTGTATGTCATAGATGCATACCACCAACAAAAAAAAAGGTTATCTAGAAGTACCTAAAAAATCCCCGCAATGAAAAGAAAAGAAGAACTTGGTTGTTTTTATCAGAATTTCATACGTGACATCAATCAACAATGACTAACAGATCATCTAGAAGTATCTAAAAAACCCCAGCATCGAAAAAAAAGGAGGAACTTGGTTGTCTTTATCAGGATTTCACATGTGACACAAACCAATAACGACTAACAGACCATCCAGAATTATCTCAAAAACCCCAACATCGAAAAGAAAATAAGAACTTGGTTGTCTTTATCATGATTTCATATGTGACACCAATCAACAGTGACTAACAGGTCATCCAAAAAAACCCCACAAGGTCGAACGACTTATCTTGGATCTCACAAACTCACAAATAAAAATGAAAATGAATCGGAAAAGGAAAAAAATAATTACAAAATAAAACTTACAATATCTAAAATAACAATAATATATGGAACATAAAATAAACATGAGCATGAAGGACTAAACAAGAATCATCTAATCAACATCCAACAATGGCGGTAATACGCTCTCGCAATTGAAGGAGCCACACCACATAGAGAAGGCATCACACCACATGCCACGACCACCTCACCCTCATCACACAACACAACCACAACCCAAGGCAATCACAACATAACCAGACCCTCAACACTGAACACAACCATAACCTAAGGCCACCACAACCCACAAGCCACCAAAAGAGAAGGCATTACACCACATACCACAACAACCTCACCCTCAACAGACAACACAACTATAGCCCAAGGCAACCACAACATAACCAGACCCTCAACACTCAACACAACCACAACCCACCGGTCACCACAAAATAAGGCACACATCACATACCACAGCTACCTCACCCTCAGCACACAACACAACCACAGCCCAAGGCAGCCACAACACAACCAGACCCTCAACACTCAACACAACCACAACCCAAAGTCACCACAACCCACAGACCACCACAAGAAAAGGCACCACACCAAATGCCACAACCACCTCACCCTCAGCATACAACACTACCACAGCCTAAGGCAACCACAACACAACCAAACCCTCAACAATCAACACAACCACAACCCAAAGCCACCACAACCCATAGGCAACCACAAGAGAAGACACTACATTACATACCACAAGCAACTCACCCTCAACACACAACACAACCGTAACTCAAGGCAACCGCAACATAACCAATCCCTCAACACTCTACACAACCACGACCCAAGGCCATCACAACCCACAAGCCACAACAAGAGAAGACACCATACCACATACCATAGCCACCTCACCCTCAGCACAAAACACAACTACAACTTAAGGCAACCACAACACAACCAATCCCTCAACACTCAACACAACCACAGCCCAAAGCCACCACAACCCACAAGCCACCACAAGAGAAGACACAACACCAAATACCACAACCACCGCACCCTCAGCACACAACACAACCACTGCCCAAGACAACCACATCACAACTAGTCTCTCAGCACTAAACACAACCACGACCCAAGGACACCATAAGAGAAGGCACCACACCACATACCACAACCATCTCACCCTCAGCACACAACACTACCACAGTCCAAGGCAACCACAACACAACCAGACCCTCAACAATCAACACAACCACAACCCAAGGCCACCATAATCCAAATGCCACCACAAGAGAAGACACCACATCACATACCACAACCATCTCACCCTCGGCACACAACACAACTAGGGGTGTAAACGAGCCGAACACGAGCGAGCCTAGACTCATCTCGTGTTCGGCTCGTTTGCTTAGTGAGAGCCGAACATAAGCCGTTCACGAACAACGAGTAGCTTATATATATATTTCTTGAGGACTAAAAAAGCAGCCGAAGCTATACAATTTCAGGTTTAATTCTATTATAATGTCGTTAGATCTAGCGCATTGAAAAAGCTTTCAAGACAAATGAGAGCTCAACCAATGAACATAGCAGAATGCCTACAAAAAACAATTTCTGATTTCCCAAAGCATGATAAGTCTATTGATCCTGAGGCGATTAATGTGAGAAGCATATAAGAATCTAATGATTACAAACTCATAAGTAGCTTCTTTATATCTTTACCATACACCAAAATATGATCTCCTTATAAAATCAATTACTACCAGTCCCTAGTCAACGGACAAAAGGTATACAGGAGTTGGCATTCAGTTTTCTTCATGATTCATCAAATAACATGATGCAAATTTGATATATGTGTTTATTAGAAATTTGATTCATACGTTTTGATTTTTAGTATTTACTTTTTAGTTCATTTCAAGCGTTAAAACAAACCTGAATGAGTTCTCTAATATCTTGAAGAATATATTAAATCTAATTGTTACTTTATCATTTCAACTCCACTCATTGAATTCACATCATCATGTTAAGAAGCATTATCACAATATAAACTGCTAATGTCTACTCAATGTTAATTCCTAAATATGCTACTTCAATGTGTTAACAACTGTTATTTAGCGCTGTAACAGTCACGTCCTCGGAACAAATATTGCCATCTGTATTCTAAAATGATAAAAAATTGTCATTCTATTGAAATAATTTCGGGAGACGCTGCTTTACCAAACAAAAGCAAATCCACACATTGGCGTTCACTGCAACGGAATGGAGTTTCACTACCTTCTTAAACGAGGCTTTAAACATTTGATTTGCAAGTGTAATTTAAAGTTGTAAATAAAAATGCATATGCAATTTTCTTATGGAACATGAACTTGACCATTATTGAAATTGCTGCCCATCAACATTTTCATATACAATTTCAAATTTGGGTTAAACAAAATGGATTTTATGTCCCTATATAAAAAAAAAACAAATTTCTTCCCAAATTATGAATTGATAGCCTCTCTAGATTATGCTATTTTGTGCTAGTAATTTACATATCATCTAGCAAAAAAATAATCCTAAACATTTACGAGACCTAAATCACGAGAAATATTTGTGTAAGGAAAACATACGCAAAACTGCGTACATTTTAGATTATTCAGAAGGTATAATTAGGTTACACTTAAGTTATACCCCTTGTAATTCTTCTTTTAATTACCCCTTGTAATTATTCTTTTAATTTAACCTAAGTGTAACTTAGCTGTACCCTCCGAATAACCTGAAATGTACACTACTCTGCGTAGGCTTTCAGTACGCAAATATTTCTACTAAATCACAACATACATTAGCTAGAGGAGATCACATTTTCTTAGGAAAAATTAGAAATACTACTCGCATTCAATCCCCCTAAAAAAACCAAAATACTTGGCCAAAAAAAAAATAAAAAATTGCGGCAATTATATTAGTTCGAACAGCACAGAACACAAACCTACGCAGTGGCGACGCCGCCATTACTCTCCTCTTCAAGCTTCTGCACATAAGCCTTGAGCAACATCACAAGCTCCCTCGCCGGAGCCTGTAACGTCCCAATAATCCCAATCGCCGGCGACTGCAGCGATCCAAGCAGCTTCGCATAAATCTCCTCCCTGCTCGGCATCGTCTCCAAAATCCGAAACTCCTCCGGTCCATAAAACTTTCCCTCGAACACTCCCCCCACGAAATCATTCTCCTCGAGCTTCTTCTCCCTCTGAAAGCTTCGGTAGGGTTTGAGCGCTTCCGGGATCTCCTCGGTGTGTACGAAAAGCCAGGCGTTCATCCCCTTCATGCAGGGCCTAAGCTGATCCCATCGAGTGCCCTCGATCGCCTTCCCGACGAGCGTGTTCTTGGCAACCATTAGGTGAACGGAATCAGGGAGGGAGCGGCGGAGTTCCTGGAACTGCTTTACCGTGAAGCCCTTGAAGCTGATTCCGGCGAGGAGGTAGCAGTTTTCGAGCTGGTTCTTGACGGAATCAATGGTTTGTTCTTTCTTGGTTCGGCTAATGGCGGCGCGGATGGTCGGGAGGCGGTGACGACGGAGAGGAGAGGAGTTGGGGAGGTTAGGGAGAGTGGGGGCTCGGGTGGGGGATAAGGCATGGATGGGTTGGGATGGGAAGGAGGAGGAGAAGTGGAGAGAGATCTCCATTTGGAGTAGTGGAGGGAGGTAGGGAGGGACGGATCTTATCCTGGGAGAAAGAAGACCATGTGACTACTGATCGACATTATTTCCATGGCCTATAGTTCAGTGAGCCCTTAAGATTAATAGCGGGTTTCTAATACATGAAATAAACCTTGAGGATTATTGGTAATAATAAATTTGATTAAAGATAACTTAATTTTTAATCACATTTTATTAAACTATTTTATTTTACCTACATAGCATTCAAAACATGATTAATTATATCTTCGACACCCTAAAACATTGAATTTACGTATTCCACAGCCAAAGAATATTACATGTTACACTCGGGCTCCGTTTGGGGGGGCTTATTCGCGGATTTTGCGTTGTGAAAATGCGTATTATGTGTTTGTTTCGCGCGTTTAGGATGCCTCCCGTAAAACACACAATTTACTTATAACAATATCGCGGCCCGCGCCTATAGTGTCGTGATCGAGCGTTTCGAAGGATTTTTACATTACTTACCCCTCCGCTTTCCCGAGTTCGTGTCCTAAACTCCCACAGCGTGCAAAGAGAAGATCTGAACGATCTAGATCTATCGTGCCCTAAAACTGTCGCTCTCTGAGGATATTCAAACACTTTTCCTCTTCGATTCACATTCTTCGTTCTGTAAGTTGTTGTCTTTGGTTACCGTAAGAATCATGCTTTTAGTATGGATGACTTTGGTTATCTTTGATCATCGTAAGTAGCATTTCAATTTTTTGAGATAATCTCCATGGAGTTCTTCGATTATCGAGTTATCAGTTACATCTTCTGGTTTAGGGTGGTGGCCACGATCATGTGTTGATTTCTTTCGCAAATGTGTTTAATATCTTCTATATTCAGTTTGTGATGACATTTGAGCTTCAGAATCATATATACGTATTTCAAATCTTCCCCATTTCTTGAAATTGTTATTTCCTGGAATTTTTAATAGCCGAATAAGCCAGAATGCGTACTGCAGTCTTGGAATTGTTTTTTCCAAGATTTTTTCGTCCCTAGATATATAAGCTTTGCTGATCTACCACATTGGAATGCTAGAGATAATTTTTTTGTTGCTATTCTTCCTAACCGATTATGAAATGAGAATAAACTCATTAGCATATTTGGCGGAATACATTTTTCTGCTATTTCTTTGATTAAGGAATTTTTATGGAAAACCCGAACATATTTCTATTCTTCCCTCTATTTTTGCTATTTGTTTATTATGACTGGTTATGAAATCAGAATAAACTCATAAACTAAAATTTTCACATGGAAGCGTTAGAAATGGTTGGACAGTTGGCAATTAGCTTCTTGATAATACATGTAGCATCATTAAAGGATCAGAGATTGATAAAAAAATATTTCCTAATGTTGTTTAATATCAATTATTTTTAAAATTTAAGCTAAATTATTTATTTTTCTAGCTACCCTAATTGGGATAGCATTTTTGACAAGTCGGTTTTGTTAGGTAATGTTCGCTAATGCTATGTTAGCTCTTTTAAAATTCTACCTCTTTACTTTAAACATTATTGCTCAATATTGCCTAATATTTGTAAGCATTCCTAAGAATTGAATCATTTTCTTATTAGTCTCATTATGGCTAAGAACAAAGAAGCCTATACGTCAGCTATGTGAGATAAAGATGTCACCAACATTTTTTGTAATTTATGTATTAAGAAGATTGAAATTGTTAATAGGCCTACCACCTATTTTAACAAAGAAGGATGTCAAAATATTTTCAAGAAATCCAAGGAAATGATCGGCTGTGAGTAAGACATGTTAAAATTCAAAAACAAGTGGGATCAGCTAAAAAAGTACTGGAAGTTATGAAAGGAACTGAAACGAAGATCCATAGGGTTGAGATCCCATCAAACCTACCGTGGATGCTTCAGAGGAATGGTGGGCTGAGAAGCTAGAGGTAATACTTTCACCCCCCACCCCCTCCCCTTATTCTGTTTAGGTTCTTTATTATTTAGCTTTCAATTTTGTTTGATATGTTCTAATTCATATTGCAGGCAGTACCAGGTGCAAAAAATTTTAAGGTGTATGGAATTGACCCGGACTTGGAAGATAAATTGGATGTAATGTTCAAGGGGGTTGTCACTATGGGCCAGAATACCTTCAACCTAAGTGAGCTGGGGTGACTTGATGCCTGATGAGGTTATGAGTTATGGTGAAGGTCCTAGCATAAACCCGAGGGAGCTCGAGCTCACATGCCAATCGAAGAGGCGTAAGATGGAGAAAAAGATAAAAAAAAACAAAGATGTATTCATGCAGAGCTCAATAGACAGACCGATAGAAGTATTTGCAGCTCCACAACCTGTTGAACCATAAGTGGATGATCCCAGTGTTGATCATTCTATGAACCTTTTAGAAGACATACCTGAAGTTGTGGCTGATAACAATTTCTTTTTAAAATGTGTTAAAGTCCTTGAGTGCCTAACAAGAAGACAGATTTTCAAGAGGCTTCGACCTGAGCTGCCTTGGAATACTTGCGTCTCTCGATCAAAAAATGATTGTTGTATTTGTGAATTTTGCTGGATAGCTGGATTGCTGGATATGCCGGCTATTGTCTTATTTTATTAGAGACCTTGATTTGTTGAACTCTTTTTAGAATTATGTAGTTTATGTGCTAATTATTCGGTTTTCAAATATTAGCACTGCTTCTTTACTTCTATCTTTTCTTATTTGTTTATTCAAATCTAATTATTTTTCCAGGATGAATCAATATCAAGAACGCCGCAAAAGAATGGCCGCTGCGATTGCTATATTATTATTAGAATACTATCGCTCTATCATTGATCGAACACCACGCATGACCTCCTCGTTCATTGGGGATAAATGGGTAGGCGAGATGATAGTTGGACATCCAATAAGGTTCAACAACATATTCTGGATGAGCGTACCAATTTTTCTGGATCTTTTGCATGAGCTTCGTACCAACCATCAATCACGGGCTCGAAGGTTTGTCAAGAACTACTACATGGGATGTATTAGCTATTACTTTATACATTTTATCTTAGAGTGAATCAATCAGAGGAGCTATGGAATGATTCCAGCAATCTTCCGAGACAATTAGTCGATACTTCTCTGAAGGATTGAAAGCACTAATTAGTCTAGCCACCAAAATAATTAAGCCAGAAGATCCGTCATTTTGTAGTACTCCTGAGAAAATAGCAAATGATCCATGCTACATGTCATATTTCAAGGTTAGTTTCTTTAATTTACGTTCTTGACTCCTAAACATTTTTTTTTATCACAATCACTTCAAATCTATAGCAAATGCGAATAGAACTGCATTGGTGCAATTGATGGTACGCACGTGGATGCCCGACTCTCGAGTGATGAGAAAGTGGTATACATGAGAAAGTGGTTCTCCAACCTAAAATGTTATGAACGTTTGTGACTTTAACATGTGTTTTACCTTTGTGTTAGCCGGATGGGAAGGTAGTGCTCATGACAGTCGTCCTTTTGCGTATGCAACAAAGAATAACTTCCTTGTTTACATTATTTACGTTATCAGATGGGAATACACTTGCAACACATTATTTCAATTATTTCTGCATTCTCAAGTCTATCATTGTTTAGTTGAGGATGAGGCATGTGGCTTTTATTTTTGATTCTATTATTTTTGATTGCCGTGTCTCATGACCATATAGATCAATTGCAATTATGAATTTGATTGACATGTCAATTTTTTATAGATGGCAGATGGTCATGTTGCTTATAGTTCTCTATGTGGAAATGAATGAGCTGCAATTATGAATTTCATTTTGGATTTTGGTATTATCGAGTGTAGCCATGGTTATGAATGAGTTGCAATTTTGTATATGATGGTGCCTCTCATTACAGCTTGGATGGCCCTTCTTTTAGGGCAACCACAGCTTCAACAAAATGTTTATCTCATTACAATTGTTCTTTTGTTTTGCTAAAATGTTCTGAGGGTGCTTTATAATCTGATCAATTGCAAGGGTGCTTTATATTTGGAGCAACTACTACTATATTATGTTATGAGGGTGCTTTATTTCTAATGGTTTCCACTGCTCATTGATCTGTTGGGCTATTTGAAGAAATATCTGGTTTGTTAAAGTATTGAATGAAATGTTTATAGAGTTATAGAATGAAATTCCATGGGTTGCATATTCCTTTTTAAGCAATAGGTGTTGGTGACTCTATTTCCAAAATTGAATATATTTTTTTTATCCGTTATTCAGTTATTAACAAATCTGGTTTATTAGCTATTTAAATGGTTTGCTTCATTGGATTGATATTTCTTTTGAAGCATTAGTTGTTGGTGAGGGGTGTGGCCAGCTCTGGAATAATACAAATAGAAGAGTTGGTGTGGTAACTGTTGTAAGGCTTGTAGAAAGTAATATTAGATATGCATTTTTTTAACAGGTAGTTATTGCATACTTTGAGGGATTCTTTTGAGTATAATTTGAAGAGTTTTCCTGAGATGGAGTATACTATTGGGTATACTTTGATACATATGCTTGCTATTTTACAAATGTTGGTTCTAGTTTTCATGGGCTGGAGGAATTTTTAGAAATCACTTGGGTGCGCCATTTTGTTACTTTGCCTCACATATTATTGTTGCGAGCCCCCATAGAAGTTGAATATCGGGCTGTTTTGTCACTTTGGGATGTGTTTATTGTAAGAAACTATTTGGAGAAATCCTCTTGCCTAAACGGGTAGAGTTTGTCATATATGTTACACTCATTTTTTCTTTGGCATGTTGTTGCTCGAATACAATTTTTGATGAAGCAACAACTCTAAAACTACCCACTATGTAGAACTTTCTTCCAAATTTTGGTGAAGTTTTCATTTTTTCTATTTTATGCTTTATGATACTCTTTTGGATAGTATTCTCGAGCATGCTACAGCTGGCTGGACTCTTTCGGCTTTTTGAATTTGGCTTAAAATGACCTGCTTTCACATATGAATTTATGGAGAAAATGCTATTATATGGATATATCTATTATAAAAAAAAATGTTTTTCACTGCTAAATTGTACTGATTTTATCAAGATTGTTGTGGAGCAGTTACGATGGCAACAAAAATTTGTTTTCGAGAACCGTTACATCCATATTTCGGTAAGTATATTTTCTATAATTACTT